TAGAGGGACATCGCAAAGCCCACGTAGTTCTTGACTGATGTAGCCTTATATTAATTTCACCCGCTTTTACCCTTAAGAATCGCTCATTTGCACCACCGTTGATGTCCCGTTGAGGGGACCCATCGCATAGAATCAATGAACATCTTCATTTTCTTTTTTGGATTTTCTTGGGCTCTTTTAGCTTTTCGGCTTTGGGTCCAATCATCGCACCGCACGCTTGTGCTTCTAATGACAATCGGCGGTGTCATACGACGAGTCGGTTGTTTTTCATCAAGTCGATGTCTAGCCTCCTTGGACTAAAAGCCCCCTTGTTCAATCCGCGCAAGACAGTGGAGACCGCGAGCTGCTAAAATGTTGTTTTGCAAGTAAAGAAAACGAATCTGGAAGTATTTGGCGTGACGACTCCACCAAGAATCTAAAATCGGCAAGAATCTGAGCAGTCTGGCAATGAATGTAAGTCACCCACAACTCAAAAGAAGTTGTTAGATAACTGTCAAAATTCCAGAAATAAGAAACTGGATTCCCTTTGTTCTTTTTTGTCGCTTTCGGGCAAATACAAACTTGTTGAGCAACCATCAACAACCACTTACCCTGTTGGTGTGCGTGAAAATTGTGGAGATATCTAGATTGAGGAAGAAGTACGCAAGATAGAATAGATGAAGCTAGAAACTTGAACAAATTCATTATATAATTGTGGCTCATAATCGTTTCGTTTAACTACTTCATGCGCACTAGTAGCATTTCGATATTGAACATTATGCTTCTAGCGATCAAGAATTTAAGTGAGCGTCATAGACTAAATAGTCAAAGTAATACACATGGAAACAGTTCCATTCTACACTAGGATCAACGAAATACCACATTGCAGAGCAAGATTAAAGATGTCGGTATCATTTTTTAAAATAAGCATAACCATCTTTTTTCAATTGAAAAAATACAAATCTGTTTCATAAACTGCACGATCATTTTGAAGATTTTTTGGAGTGCAGATAACAACTATTGAAAGACTAGCACCATAGGTAAAAATAAATTATAATGTGCGGATACAGTAACCCGACTAAATTCAATAGGTAGTACACTTAAAAATTTTTAAAATAATCTAAAAAATTTTTGCACAATGCTCCCCAATTTTGGTGGAGTACTATATTAGATATCCTCAATATCTTTAGGTCGAAAAAAACATAATAATTAGTTGTATAAGAAAAAGACGTCGTTCTAGGTAATTGCATAATGTTGAAATTCCAACGAGGTTGGGACAGTCCCTTGGAAAACGTGTTTTTGTCTTGTTATTCATTTGTCTTTAAGCAAAGAATCTTGCCCGAAGCTTTTCAATGCTCTGGGGATGCTCGTCCATAAATATGCAAAAGTAGGCTTTTTTAATTGGAGAAATACAACAGAATGCGCCAAGAATTTTCAACCATCTCTGCTACAGCATACAATTTGAAAACCAGTGGCATGCACATTCTTATATGAAAATTTACCCCGAACCATATTCTGCGTTCACAATTTTTTGTTAAGTTCAATATTGGACTAGTCATTTGCCAGAACGCATTATCAAATGGACAATTGAAGAAAAAAAATTTTTCTGTCAACCTATATTCATGCTAAATTGAACATTACTCTTACTAGAATACTTATTTGGCCAGTATGCTTTAATCATCAAAACACCACGAAAATCAATAAACTTCTTTTTTGCACGAATTTTCGGCAATCCATCATCAATCCAATGACATGTAATACCCATCATAAAGGAGTGCACTTTGCGCGAATGATGCACCGTCCAAACAATCACAACAAATTGAAACACGAATTTTCAACTTGCAGAAAATAGAAAGCTCTAAACTCTGTTTTTCCTTTGGTCTATATAAGGAGAATATAAGTTCCCGTTTAAAAGGTACTTCTTGCGTACTCTTTTAGCGAGCAAGGATTTGAAAGCTTTTTGACAATAATTGATGTCAAAACCCCGTGACTTTTCTTTTCACCCCAAAACTACAGAGTAAATGTTCCATAACCGAACATCCAATGTTTGTGGCTAATCTTCCCCTGTCTTTTTTGTGTTTCTTTTTCAGAATGTGTTAGCAAATGAAAGGAAAGGTTTAAGAAAGCGTAAACCCGGATAATTTATTGTTGGAGAACCAATCAAACTCGGCTATTGTTTGTTGGATGTTTCTTGCCTTCCAAATGGCTTCCAAAATGTCCATAGCCCGCCCGCCTTGTTTTAAATTTCCATAAGAATTTTTCCGCGATAATAACTTGCAATTGCATCGTACATTTTCTCACCCTTTACATGTTTTTTTGTGAAATGAATGGAGAATATTCCCGGAACTTTGTCTTGCTCATGTGTAAACAATTTTGTGCTCGTTGCTCTTACCTCCTTGCTCTTGCATGTCTTCTGTGCAAATTGCGCTCATTAAATTCGGATTCCTTGGAGTTGGGAAATGATAGCAAGGACATTTTCATTTCGGAGAAACCTCAGACATTTAAATTGGTGCCGGGAGATCATATCACATAGAATGTCGCGTTTGGTCAAAGCGGATAAGATGATCTCTCTCAATTGTTTTTTCCCGTGCCCTTTACCCGACCCGATTTGCAGTTTCCCCTTGCCACTTCATAATGATCAAATACAAAATATAATTGGAAAATTGAAGCTTAAACAAAATTAGAGCAGACATCATCTGACGTAATAAGAGAGATTGTACGAGTAGAGAATAATCAAATGAATAATGATCAGAATAGAGTGTACAAGTATCATTGTGTAGAGAGAGTGAAGTAGAGAGCAAAGTTTCGAGGAAGAGTTTTTTTTCGTAATGAAACTCTTGTTGAGACTAAAATTGAGGTACTTTCATAGATAAATCCCAAACAATTCAATTTTGCCAAAACAATACCCTTAAAAACTAGCCGTTATAATCAGCCGTTTTATGGCTGTTGGCGAGGGGTAAGAGTTAAGACATTTTCACAGACAAACTTCAGAAGAAAAAAACGTGCAAAAATCTGACAGTACAACGGCTAGAACGGCGCCGGTTTCGAACCGGCGGTTCTAACCCGGCACGGAGCACACCGGCCCCCGGCGGTTTTCCAGTCGCGATTCCGACGCGGTTTCTCTTGGAAACAAACCGGCGCGTTGCTGGTTCGTGCTCATCTTGCCTGGAACCGGAACCGAAATGGTTCCTCATTTGCTGGAACCGGAACCGAACCGGATTTTTTCGATTCCGGTTCTCACCGGTTCCGGTTACGGTTCCGGGCCGGTTCGAACCGACGGTTCCGATTTCCGGAACCGTAATATGGCCATGACTAGATTTGAATACGTATGTCTTATCATTTGAGTCACATCTTATAGATTTAATTAAATTAATTCTAAATTTTTAATATAATTACAATATTAACAAATAGGTTGGTTGATCAAGCTTGCAAATCGGTGTCGGCGTCCCACTCACCATCATGCCTCCATCTATATATACGAAATTTACTGACATAACTAGGTTGAGCAGCATACTCAAAGTAGAGAAGAAATAATTTTCTTTTTCTCTTTGACTATTTGGGCTCAATATGAAAAGTGATAGGATTAAAAAGATCAATCGAACAGATCTGTCCAATTTAATTTTAGAATGTTTGGTTCAATTTTAATTTTTACAGAAAACTATAGCATATAATATCCAACTATTATGATAATTGGTTTGTTAGAGAAAATAGAAAAAAACATCCAATTGATTGAAAAACAAAGAAAGAGTTTAGAATAAAATGGCTTCGATACTTCATGCAAAGCATTAAAAAGACCAATCAAACTACATCTAATTCATTATTATTTCTTAATGTTAATGCAGATTTAACTATACACAGTGTAAAAATAAAAATAAAAATAAAAATAAAGGATTTTACATAACCAACTACAACTAGTTCGGTATTAATTTAGTTACTTTTATTTGTATCATGTCAAATGATCAACAAATTAATTTCACTGCCGAAGAATCAACAAGGAGATATAATACAATACTATTTCCATATAACGAGATTTTACTATTCAAATTCGAGCTGTTCCACCTTGAACTCTCCGAAGGCAGAATAGAGACAAAACGGCTAATTATTCCTCAATAGTTCCATAAAATTTTATAAGCGAGTTGTTGAGAAATAAAATTAACACTACATATATAATAAAATATATATTATTTTGTACCATATTTTATTTTTCATTGAATTTCAAAATAAATAATTATTAATCCAAGTAACACTTATTGTCAATATTATAAATAATATTTAATAATAAAATATTATTTTAAATTTTCACAAATTCGGTGATGACATAAAATATTAAGAATAACATAATGTAGTAAAAATACAAATAAGCTACAATCAAATGAGAAAAACAAAAACGATACATGGTTCGACTTGAACCAAATTCGAAAAGCATTAAAACCGCAACTTGTAGTGGTGGTTTTAATGCAAGTGCAAGAAACCGCCAAATCCTCCAACAAACCTAAACAGTGGACACAAAGGGAAGAATACTCCATGATCTTAACTATCATATTACTTAACCCTCATCAAAGGCCAATTTTTTTTCTTTTTTTTTTTTTTTTAAGTATATCAAAGGCCAAAATTACAAAGCTTGTTTTGCATTATTGTTTTTGTTTTTTTTTTTTTTTTTTTTTTTTTTTCCAGAAGAAAACTATGGTAAAAAAGAAGATAGGACAACTGTTTATGCTTCAAAGCATTCGCATTAGAGATGCAATCAAGCAATACTTTCAACAGAAATAAAATGAAAAAAATTGTAATTGGTAAAGGAAATCAGGACTTAATTGAATCCAATCAACAGAAATATTTTTTGAACTATGATGCTTATCATGGTCCTTCACATAACTCATACCTCCACCAGCACTTTTTTTTTTTTTTTTTTTTTTTTTCCAGAAGAGAACTATGGTAAAAAAGAAGATAGACACATGTTTTAGCTCAAGCATTCGCATTAGAGATGCAATCAAGCAATACTTTCAACAGAAATAAAATGAAAATTGATATTGGTAAAGGAAATCAGCACTTTATTGAATCCAATCAACAGAAATATTTTTTGAACTTATGATGCTTATCATGTCCTTACATAACTCATACCTCCACCAGCACCAATTCTAACACAGTATTATCATGCTACTATTTATGTTTTCATGATTTTGTGACAAGATGATACAGATTCAATTTAGCTCACCTATGATAAATAACGAGAAACAACTTCGATATATGCAAGCAATAACAACATCTGAATCGACGACACATGCACATCTGGGTTTGCAGCAAGCAGTAACACTTACAGTTACAACAGCAGCTCGGCCGCAGCAAATGATGGACAGATATAAACAGAGGTAGATGCAGTCTAGTTTTTGTGCTGCAGCCTCCCGCTTTCTGCACCAGCATAAGGATCAATCGTGACATTGATTACAGTTGGCTTTCTTGCAGAAAAGGACTCATCAAGAGCAGACTTGAGTTCATCAGGTGTCCCAACAAGATAACCTTTGCCCCCAAAAGCTTCGATGAGTTTGTGATATGCAGCACCAGGTACAAAAGAAGTGGGTGCTGGGTCATCCTTAAAGGGCCCTGATATTTCTTCAGGGCTTCTCCGGTCACCACCATATACACCACCGTTGTTAAAGACGATTACAACTACAGGCAACTGATATCGAACCAATGTCTACAAAAAAATTTTAAGATCATTAGAACACATCCCTTAATTGTTTTTAATAATTAGATGGCTATGTACCAATTATAAAATTCATAACAGAAGCATCATATCAAAAAAGACGGAAACAAAGAAGAAACATTAGGAAGTAAAAACTACAGAAGAATATTAAATGGATCAAGTTCAGAGATAAGAAAAGAAACAGTAACCACTCCATATATCTGGTAGCTGGCTAGCTTTAATAAACATCTTAAGCCAACAAATAGAAAGAGTGAAAAGAAAAGGTTTCTGCAAATTAATAAATTATACAATTTAGCCTGGACTCAACTATTTAAAATATCCAAAGGTTTCTGCTACTATGCAAGTCATATTGATCCAGACCATTAAGGTAAAGAAGGATTCATTTTCCTTTCAGCAGACTGTTTAGAAATCACCAATCTATCTATGTTTAGCTGCCACATGCAGCAATTAGGAAATGAATCAGGCTACACTTTTTGAAGAAAGCCTATAAGTAACTTTCTGGTTTTAATTAGGATAAGCGCTCAATTTAGGCCCTCAGCTTTCCTCTAATGTTTAATTAGGTCCACAATTAAGTTTTGGACCAATTTAGGATTCATGCCTTTAATGTAGGATCAATTTAGTCCATTAAATAATAAAAATATTAGCTTTTATATTTTCAAAAACCAAAATCATAAAAGTACTTCAAAATTAAAAGAACTAAAATAAACAATGAAAAACGAGAAATAAGCCTTGTCCTTTTCCCTCTCCAATCAACATTTCTGTCTCCCCCATTGCAATCAATTGACAGTTCATATAATCCATCACAAGCCCAGCCGTGACCAACAAAGCCACCGCCAGCAACATTGAATCAACCTCCTCACCACCATCCCTAATTCATTACCCCAACCATAATATTTTGGATAAATCACTACAAAATCTTAACCTTCAACAACTGAGAAACAAATTTTAATTCAATGATCTCTTATCAATGTACGGAGCAATTCCTTAGCGACAATTATTGGCAAGACCAGCAATGGACAGTGAGGTTCTCTTATTTGGCAAAGACCGAAATCAGATTTCAATGGATACATCAGGCAGTGTTTGCAAGGCAAATAATCAAGCAACTACAGCATCTTACTAGTGGTGAAGGATGGTCTCGCAAAAATAAAAGCAGACATAGCTTCAAAATGTTGCTTCTACCATTGTTATCGAGTTCAGTGGGTTTCTGCATCTAGGTTAGGGTGCTTTCAGGTTTCAAGGTTCTATTTCCAAACAGGCGTAGTTGGAAGACACCAAAACTATGGCCATGGTAGTAGAGGTAGTTCTTCTATTGCATCATTCAAGGCTCGAGATGCATGGAGAAGATGGAGGAGAAAAAATTAAGAACAACATTGTTCATAATTTTCGTTCTTATTCTTATTTCTTTATTAATTTTTCTGATTTTAGAAATATTTTTAACAATTTTAAAATATAAAATTAATATTATATTATTTTTGTAAAAAAGGGAGCTAAGTTGATCCTAAATTAAAAGTAGGGGGTCCAAAATTGATCCAAAACTTAATTTGGATCTAATTGAATATCAGCAGAAAGTTAAGGAGCCAAATTGAGCATTTATCCTTTTCATTGACATGGGAACACTGCAGAACTGGGGATAAAGAAACAGCAACATTTGTGAAAAAAGTAAAAGAACAAAATTAAATAATTGCTAAATAATTCATAGAAAGACAGTAATAATATATCCAACAAATATACTCCAAACTTGACCTCTGATTAAGGTAAGCTTTTAGAAAGACAGCCCAGCTGAACCCACTTCTAAAACTACAATTCATGATAATGCAATATAAGTGGCACATGTAAGAGCTTACACATATGTTGGACCCTTGGAGGCAAAGTCAACAGGTGATAAATAGGTGAAAGTAACAGAAGACCAGAAAGAACGTTACCACATCAAATCATCAAGTCAAATACAACTAAGACCACAACAGAATATTTCTATCAAGCCAACATGAAGTGATTAAGCACATCTTTTATGCATTAGAAGCATTTCATCTTAATGTTAATATTCTCTCGGAAACGTTCTAAGACAACCAAAAATAAAAGGATAACCAAATGCACAATATTGTTAAACAAAGACAATCTTAAGCCACCACAAATAAGTATCACTGTTAGACTAAACGCCCATGTCTTTTAAGAACTTTTTCCCATTGAAATAATATTTTCCATTCTAATTACAGGGCCATGATCAATTTTAAGTAATAAGCATTCACCTCAAGGTTATGTTGGCAAAAACTTTTCACTTGGGTTTACTGAGTTAATTCATCCTTATCATGTTCCCCTTTATCTCTAATAAATTCATCTTAAAATTGAAACAAAGTGAAAACTTAAGCAACCAATTGAAACTCCCTCAAACAAGTAAAAAGGTGAACCTCACCGCCACAGCAAAATAAAATGCAAAGGGGCACCAAATAAGATTGGTAAAGGAGCCAAGCAGCATCAAGAAATGGCAACACAGAACTATTTAGATCATAATGTTGAATAAGGAACTATACCTCAACTTCCATGGCGCTAAACCCAAATCCAGAGTCACCTTCAACTGCAACAACAAGCCGATCAGGCTCAGCCACAGCAGCAGCAATGCAATAACCCAACCCAACCCCCATTGTCCCCCAAGTCCCAGCATCCAACCTAGTCCTAGGCTCTGTCTGTACCAACACAGATCTGCCAACATCCATTGTATTAGCTCCCTCTGAAACCACTACTGGAGCAGGGCTGCCCACTCCTAAAATAGCATCTCTAATAATCCTCATAGGTGTCAAGAAATTAAATGGCACAACATCCTTTGCCAACTGAGCCTCCATTCTTGACACATTCTCCTTAGCTTTCTTTGAAACAGCCTCCACCCATGGATGATTATTCCCCAAACAAAAAGGATCATCCTTAATCTCCTTGTTTATCAATTCCAACACTTTTTTTGCATCCCCTACCAAACCCAGATGTGGTTTTCTTAGTTCTATTTCATCCTTACTAACATCCACTAATATAAACTTCACATCCTTAGACCACTTAGGTGGCTCCCCAAAATGCAATAGCCAATTAAGTCTAGCACCAACAACAAGAGCAACATCACATTTACCAATAGCAAGTGACCTTGCAGCACTTGCAGCAAGATCATGGGTATCAGGCAACAACCCTTTACCCATTGGCGTGGGCAAAAATGGAATTCCAGTGTTTTCCACTAACTTCTTCAGCTCATTCTCTGCTCGCGCATAGGCTGCTCCTTTTCCAAACACAATTAGAGGCCTTTCTGCTTTTCTGAGCAACTCGGCAGCTACTTCAATATCTGAACTTGCAATCTCACTCCCATTTGCAATCGACCTCGATTCAGAACTATTCAAGGCGGCAGTTAACAAACTTTCCGCCTCAGATTCCGTTACCGTTTGATGCAAAACATCTGAAGGAAGATCCAAATAGCATCCACCGGGCCGACCCGAAACAGCGCGATCGAGAACCTGAACAACACAATTAGGTATATCCTTGATACTTTTAGCTTTTACTGATAATTTCGAGAAAGGTTTGACTGCCTCTATCTGATCAAGCTCTTGAAAATCTCCTCGACCAAAGTCATTTTGATCACAAGAGCCAGAGATCATCACCATCGGCCAAGTATTAGCCATGGCGTTAGACAATCCAGCAAGCCCATGGACACAACCCGGACCGGAGACAGTAAGAAGCAAACCCGGTTTGCCAGTGAGGTAACCATAGGCGGAGGCAGCATATCCAGCGGACTGCTCATTATGGAAGGCCAAGAAACGGATTCCAAGAGAAACAGCACGGTTAGCCAGTGAAGTCACCGGAATGCCCACCACTCCAAACATGTGGGTTACACCGCATCGCGCGAAGGATTTGGCGGCAAGAACGTTGCCGTCGATGGGGGTTTGAGGGGCAATTTGGGAATTGGAGTCCGCCATTAAAGGAAATGGTTAAACGATTTTGATTTTGCGTGTTATAGTCTCGTGTTGTGTGACTCTGTACATATACATATTGTGGTGGTGACTTTATTTTTTAAAGCCATTTTTGTTAATAAACGCATCAATCGAACCGAGTGTATGGCACTGCCACTGTCCCCACATTCGTTGAGGTTTTGACTATTCTATGAACATCCATAATTTTATGGTTTTCTTGCCACTTGGCATTTTGTGATTAGCCACCAATCAAATTTAAGACAATTATAATTTGCTAGAGGATTTGTTCTTAAATGCATTTTTTTCCCCGAGTTTACACCACTGCCAGGTTTTTCCAACCGCTAAATTAAATTTAACCGCTTGGTGATAGTCGATGATTTATGGTTAATAAATATTAATAAATAATATTGGTATTTGGTAAAATTTTAATAGTAAAATGAAATGAAAAATAAATTATTAAATATAAATGTTGGTATTTTTATGAAATTTTAATAATGATATTATAAATGGTTTGATTAAAAAATTTTACTTGTTTGATATTATCAAACACCTAGAATTTATTTATTTGAAACAAATGAACTAAACTACATGCCCTCTAAATCAAACATGTCAATAATTTTTACACTTTAAATTTAATAATTAACAAATTCATTCTTATAAAGGGATGAACTTACGACTCCTTCACGCTTTTGTAACATTTGAAATTAACAAAAAAAAAAAGAACCATTAGGACATAAATCTAAAACTAAGACAGTAACTCCATTATTAAAATAAAGTTTTTATGTAGAAAATAAAATCCCACATAAACTAAGATTAAGTTTAGAAGTCCCACTTCTTTTTAACTGTTGCTAAAATTAAAGTAATTGATAAACTAAGGGCCTGCTCGACAAAATTAACTGTTTTGATAGCTGTTAATTAGTTGTTTTGTAGCGTTTAATTGTTAGTTGTTTGGGTAATTTTTCATGAAACGCTAAAAGCTAAACGTCACATGAATTAACTTTTCACAAAACATTATTCTAATATCTAATTCAATCGCTATCTTATCGAACAGTTTTTTAAACAGTATACAGTGTTTTCAACTAGCATAGTCTAAGTAAGCTTTTTTTATTAATTATTATTATTTTCCTTATTTAAAGGAAGAACACTCTTAATTCTCAAGCAAATAGGCTTGAAATTTTGGCTGGTGGAGCACGTGGAGTGTTAGGTTTCTGTTTGCTCAGCTTCTCAACCAGAGACCACCAAAAGAAGTGGCGACGGCAAAAAGACGAGATTGACCTTTAATATTTGGTTTTGATCTCTTTTAATATGCCGACGCGACACGACCCACCTCCTCAGCTCCTCTGTTAGTTTGTCACCTTACTCCACCAAATATTATTCATTTTATCTTTGTTTCTATTGTTCTTTGTTTTTATCTATTCTTTCTTTTTTTTTAAAAAAAAAAAGGTTACACGTGTCTAAATAATTGGATCAATTAAAATTATACTTTTCAAAATTAATAGTTTGATTAATTTTTATTAAATTTTCAAAATCACGAATATTGATTTGGTTATGGTTTGAGACTCAAAAATATCCAACTCAACCATACCAAATCAAATTGAAAATATATTAAAGAAGTATAAATTAATTAAAAATTATAAAAAAAAAAGGGAGTACTACTCTAAAGTGGGTTAAGAAATAAACTGACCCTTCCTTAATGGGCTTTCACTGAAAGATGGACCGGGTTTATACCGAACCCGATTCCTCTTCTTTTCTCGCTCTCTCATCTGCAACCTGTAAAACCCAAAACCCTCTCTGTCTTTCTCCTTGGGACTAGCCGTCGACCATTTTTCAATTGAAATTCGAGTAAGCTTTCCCTCTTTTTTTCTGTTAGACGCCTGTATTTTTGTATTTTCCGTATTTATATGAATTCTCTTCTCATTCAATTTGATCAATTTTAATGGGCAGGAACGTTTTCCTGTTTTGATTCTGTAATTGCGCTAATAGATGCTAAAGAACAATGTTTTTCCTTTTTAGGGGTCTATTAATGGGTTGCTTTGGTTTTTTCCTGGTCTCTTCTAACATTTTTTTGTAATGGACACGTAGAAGAAATATGGATATTTGCACATTGGTAGTTTTCTGCTTTTAACTGATCGTTGGTGTTGTTTCAATAGTTGAAATTTGATTGATAATAAAGGATGATAAAGAGGCGATTCTATAGGGAAGAACACGGTGAAAGAGATGAACCCTCCTCGGATTCATCTTCATCTTCATCTTCTGATTATGACTCTGAAGTTGAAGCAGAGGAATCAGAGGATCATGCTCCAGTTGCAGAGGCAAAAGAAAATGATGAATCCTGCTCCACCTCGTCTGGTTTGTACCACATTGCATTTTTTCTTTCTCTATATTGCTTAGCGGGTCTCGGTTGTTTGCTGCTCGAAGTGGTCAAGAATGCTATATGGTTGCATTTACTATTAAAATTTTGATTCATGTGAATGATGAAATTGTGAAAATTGTTGTGTTAATGGTAATTTGCTAAATTTTTTGCTAATTTATTATAAAAAAATTGTCCTCATTTTGTTTTGAGTTACTTTTTACCCCATATGTTTTATCTTCTTTTTTTAATAAATAAATAGATATAATAGATGCTTACGTTGTTTTGATATAATTCAGGATATGAGGGTGAGGATAGCTCAGCAAATGAGATTGTTGCAGACTCATCAGGTAGGATGTACCTTTACATTAAAGGCTTTTAACCAACTTTTATCTGGGAAGTGCATGTTCAATTTGGATGATATATGCTTTTTGCATGATCTAATAATTCTTATGTGGAATTATTGCTTGGATCTGACTATTGATAGCATTTCATGTATTTTCTGAGGCCTTAAAAATCGTTTCCAATGAAATATTCTCTGAAATGGACGATCATGTTATGCATGAATACAGCTATTATTTTTTGATTCATTGACATCCTTATTAGCCATTCTCTTAAAGTTTTTTAATTTGAAAAGCAAAAGTGTAGGTGATTTTGCAATCCATGTGGTATGCTTCATAAAATATAAGCATTAATTACGCAAGATCCTGTTTGGTTGATTTTCTATTGAGAATTATTCAGTCCAAATTTATATTCTGGATATTTTCAACATCCAATAATTGGAATTAAGTGATGTGATTTTCTCATTTGAAGCTAATGCAAGGATAATTATGATTTCACAGAGGTCTTGCTGTATGTTTATGTTATCCTGTGCATCTTCAAATGTTTTTCTCATTTTGCTCTCTATAGTGGGAATCTGATCTGGTTGTCAGTAACACATTATTTTGTTCCCACCTATGTCGAATTACAAGATTGCCTTGGGAGGAATTCTTGTGCATGGGATGTAATCTTAATGCTTGATGTTGTCATTACTGATGAAATGGTAAAAGATCTTTGTTTTTATAGCGTCTAGTTTTGAGAAATTACCACTTTCTGCCAAAATGCTTGAAAGTTGGAGTCACCACTTCCAAGAACCTATCTTAGTGAAATTATAGTGTGATAGAAGTGTTTTCTGAGGGACGTAGTAATGAGATTTACAGTCTTAGGTAAATAGTTTATGATGTCTGAAATGTCTTTTATATCATATATTCCTATGGTTATTCATTTTTATCTTTTGTTTACTGCTTCTTACCCATTTGCAAGTTCTGAGATTTTACTAGTAGTGGAAGGATACAAGCAATTTTTTTCTTTGATTGCCAAAATTCAGTAAATAGCACAATATTTAAGTTAAAATTTTATGTGTCCGTTCATTCTGATGAACTGAAATTTCACTTTGACATGCTTGATATTGTGATGACTTGATAGTAGGTAATAAAAATGATGATGATGGAAATGGAAATAACAAGCAAATACCCGTTGGCCCTCGGATATCTGGTAAACGTGATGCTGTTATAGACAAGAATGAGTTTAATGGTGTACCCGAGAATGAATTGGCAACAAGCAATATGCCAGAGTTTGTATTGAAATTCAAATCAGTTTATAAGTGTCGGATTTGCCCTCGAATCGTCTGTTTGACTGAGGAGACAATGAGGACTCATCTCAATTCAAAGGTAAAACATAATATGCTTTTGTTTCCTTGTAAAATTGAATATTCTGTTTGCATTTTGATATTCCTCCTGCTTGGCATTGAGCGCAGGTGAATCTTTGTCAATCTTTAATGTCTTTAATTTTCAATCGAAGGATAGGGCTATTTTTGCTTCTTTCTTCCTTTCATCATTTCTTTTTCCTTATCTGATAACATTTAATTGTGTGCATAGTCAAATGTTTGTTTCTGTATTATGAAGAACGAACCAGTAATGCAATAATAACCAGTGTCGACAATTTTAACAAGCAGGAGAAATTTTTTTCTTTCAAGCTGTTAATGGTTTCTTTGCAGGTTTTCCATTACCCTGTTCATGATTTGTGCTATTACTTGATATATTAGGACGAAGATGAAAGTATTTGGAGCTACTATTTGTCTTTCATCTCTCGTTGTTTTCTTCCTTTGAAAGAAAGTAGTTATATGCTTATATGGAGATCTATTAATTGTTGCAGGGACATATTCGGTCAGAGAAGTTGCTGAAGGAGAACAGACTGAAGGCCATGCTTAATAGTGACGGGGAAATTGAGAACCAGGAGACTGCTGCAGAGTTGCATGCTCGAATTATGGCCTTTGGACAGGTTGGTTTCTCAATGAATATTTCTGCAAATTGAACAGGGGATTGGAGGCTAGATGCTAATTTTTAACTTTCTATACAGAATAAATCAAAAAAGAAAAATAAAGGGCGTCAACGGCAAAAGAAGAGAACAAGAAAGAAGGTATAACTGCCATTTCTTGACAATCAAGTGTTCTTAGATGTTTCAATATCATACAAGGTTAATCGCTTACCGTTGACTGTAGGAAGGGACAGATGTTTCAAATGCAGAGAAAACAAAGGGATCAGTAAGAACACCAGCCAAGAAAAAGGCTAAAAAATGAGAACTGAAGAATGCAAAATTCTTGTTCTCTGTACTGTGAAAGGAAGAAAGAAAGAAAGAGGGATTGACTTCATTTTTGTTTAACTAATTATAGGTTGTTCAAGAGAATTAATTGAATGCTATGTACAATTTGCATTTCTTTCACTGAATGCCAGCTTTTTCTTTTTCCCCTTTTTTTAAATTACTATTGATAAACATTATCATTGTTGAAGTCTTTCACTTTGCCAACGTTGACATTGATTTGACTTATGGTAACTTTGGGATTGGGACACAACTATGCTGATTTATTTTTTTTCTATTATTTATTTCATTTTTATGCTCTCTAAAATTTCTACAAATGCGTTCATGAAAAATTTTTAAATAATTTTTAGTAAATTTGGCTGCCAATTGGCATTAGAACTGGAAAGTTGAAACCTCCTAGTATAAACTATAGTTGAAGCTGAGGTTTTAAAATCTAATAAACTTCAGTTAAATTTAAATATTAAATGCTGTACTGAAAATCTCACTCTTGTTTCTCTTAATTTATAAACCCGATACATTAGATTCCGAAAGAACGTGTTTATATATACAAGTAATTCCCATACCAATAAGCTGCAAAGCCTGCAAATGAGCTCCCATCTCACACCAAACCAAAATAGAGAGGAAGAAACACTAAAATGAGCTCAAAATACTAAGACCTACTTCCTCCGCTAAAATTGAAAGTATACATTAACCATCTACGGCTCTCTTTTTCGATACATCAGTGGTAAAGCAAGAAAATAGTACTAGTAGAACTGAAATTGAATTAGAACTTCACAAACTTAAATATGATCACAAACGTAAGCAATTCAAGAGGCAGGTGTCAAGGTAGTGATACAGTCGCTTAGAGAAAATATCAGCTCTTTTAACCCAAAGTATCTAGCATCACTTGCTCAAAACATTTGTAAAGATTTAGAAGTAGTTGCCCAAATGCCATTCCACAAAATATTTGGCAAAGGCAATGCCCTTTTAGTGATTATCATTATATGAATTTGAATGGGAAACTTGAGAGGCCATCAGTTGGTAACGATCATAAGATTCAAGATTCCTCTTTATGCAGAGAATGGTCAGGGGAAGGAAGCATATGCTCTCCATTCCCATCAGTTTCGGCAGGTGGATCATGTGGAGTTTGTTCAGCTGCTTCAGCATTTTCAGGATGAAAGTTGATGGGAAACTTTGTGACCCTTGGTTTATCAGACAAAATGTTTCTTTGAACCTTATCGATCAATACTTTTGGTGGAGGTTCCTCTCTTAGTTGCTCTTCTTCATAATCATTGTTGACATAGTAGCCAACCCTAACGAATTCTTGGCCTAGATAAGAGCAGGTTAACAAAAGCACCGTCACACCAATTATATCTTCTTCACGAATCTTTGAAGGATCTGGTGGGTCTGCCTGGAAGGCATCCAACCCAAAGCAGAAATCAGAAAACACAACATAAAAATTCCAATATAAAAAGCAGACAGAAGGGTTTAGCAAAAATTGCCTGTAAAACAAAACGATAGTTTCCAACATTCACAGGCCCAACCAGTACACTTTCCAAAAGTTGGTCATAAGTTTCATCCTCAGCAGAACCTACATAAATTAGTTTCCATTCCAAATCTGCAATGAAAAATTTAATACAGTTTAATATTTGTAGCATAACTACTGTACAAACAAATAATTCCACCCTTCCCCACCCCATTGGAAAGAAAGAAGAGGAATAGAGGTTATTTGGAAAAAAAAAAAAAAAGGAGAGATTATTTTACTGGAAATCTATAGTAAGAGCTTAGGCTCTTATGCTGCACACATGCTTAATTATTCATCTTTTGATGTAACTAATTCAGAAGCATAAAGACACTTGTGGTATTTGGACCTGGTAAGCAAACTGATCTTCCAGTCCACACCTTCTTCTCAGTTTGAGAAACTCTATCTATCCTTTTTACAGACTTTCAAATGGCAAGTATAAGTGCAAAGCAATTTGTTTACAGAGGAGTCATAACAGTCTACAATCATGCCATTACCTGTTGAAAACTTAATGAAGTTCTGTAACCCAAATGCTTCGTTGCATGGACAAATACACAAAGCAAATCTTTTTCTTTTCATTATGCTTAATGCATTTTAACTCTGCTTGGTAGTACAAGGAGGGTTTATAATGGTTGAAGAGTGCCAAATTAATTCACCTTAATGACCGGATCTAAAGGTTTCAATTTGTTTGGTATTAAAGTTGAGTAGGGCTGAGCAAATACTCTGCTGCTGTCTCTCGTAACTAATAGAAATGGACCATAGAAACGGTAACCTCAAAACACAAGCAAAAACATACTTTACCTAATTGATGAAATTACAAACTTTCTCCTAATGGTTCTATTGCCTTCAAAATCCAGGAAGAAGAATCTGACAGTAGAGAGAAAAACTGCTACAAATATAACACTTTGGCTTATACGGATCCCAGGTTTAACTTTATAACACTAAATTTTCTCCTTTTCCTCAAAATTTCTCCTAAATTGTGGAGTTTTTTGCCCTAATTGAATAACCCCTTTATTGCATGTAAGCAAACAACTTTCCATCTACCAATTTTTCTAACCAACCAAACAGACCAAAAACCACCAATATTGAATATAAAGAAACCCTAACCCAAATCCACACAAAATCAAACAATTTAATAATTTCAAAAACAAAATTGCCAAAAAAAAAAAAAAAAAAAAAAAAAAAAAAAAAGTTAGAGAGGAAAACTGCTACAAAATATAACACTTTGGCCTTATACGGGATCCCAGGTTTAACTTTATAACACTAAATTTCTCCTTTTCCTTCAAAATTTCTCTAAATTGTGGAGTTTTTTGCCCTATTGAATAACCCCTTTATTGCATTGTAAGCAAACAACTTTCCATCTACCAATTTTTCTAACCCAACCAAACAGGACCAAAAAACCACCAATATTTGAATATAAAGAAAAAACCCCTAACCCAAATCCACACAAATCAAACAATTTAATAATTTTCAAAAAAAAACAAATTTTGCCAAAAAAAAAAAAAAAAAAAAAAAAAAAAAAAAAAAAAAAAAAAAAAAAAAAGAGGACAATATAACTAACGATAGAGAGGAAAATACCATCTTTAAGAGGAGTTAAGCACTCATAAGAGATCTCAAACTGAAACGGGGACAAAAACGGCGCCGGATTGTCCAGGACAGTAACATTGGTAATATTCACAGCACTCATTATGAAACAAATCAATTTGAAACCCTAGAATCCAAAACCTTCATGTAAAACCCAAACAGAATCCTAATCCAATCAGAGAGAAACACAAAGAAAATAAGTATTTGAAGAAAAAAAAAACAGAGAAAAATGAGGGGAAGGGTTTTCGAAGATTTGAATTTTGGGGTTTCTAGTTGTAAAGCGAATAGAGAATTGTAGATGATGGAAACTTTATACCGGAAAGGCCAGAAGAAACTATTAAAGCCATGGAAATTGCAAATGGCGGGAGACTGGTTTTTGGTATGAAAAAAGGGAGCGGGAATGGAAATGAGTAAGAGAATTGGAATTTCAGATTAGGGCTGACCTGTATAATTTGTTGGAGAATCAGCAATGTACTTAGAACTTCCAAGGTATTGATGGTTCTAATTTAGAACTTTCTATCTTTGCTCGATAGTAATTGAGTTTAGTTTCCTTTATATTACTAGTTTTCTCCAACTCATTTTGAACTCGTTAATTTGTAGTCGTTATAAGAAATATAATTTATTTTTATATATATTTTTTTGTTAATTTTTATAATATTATGTAATTTATATTGCTAAAAATCGAAAAAGCATTCCCAAATAAAAATTATTTTATGAAATAATAAAAATAAAAGAATAATAAATTTTCTCAAAATGATATTTATCTTGACTTAACTTATTACGTTTTGAAATTATATAATAAATATTATATACCCCTCCATCCAAGAAAATAGTCTCACTTTTTAAAATTATCTCACTTCTGATAAAAGGGTATCTCAAGATAACAATTCCATGTTTAATTTTAGAAATGCCTTTTTTTATTTTTCTATAAATCCTTATAATATAATTTGTGCCAATAATTAATATCCATAGAATTACTAAATATTTAATCAAATATAAACATAAAGTAATATAAAGTAATTAAAACATATGTCGAGATTAATTTTTTATTGAAAAATCTATAAATATTAATAAAGAATTATTAATATAAGGGTATATATGGAAACAGATGGATAAATGTTATGGTTAAACTACTTATTCTTTTTTTTTAATAAACTACTTATTCTTAATTTGTGTAAAAAAAAATGAAACTATTTTTTTTTGGGATTGAATGAGTATTATACATAAATAGCTATTATAATATTTAATATTATTATCATTATTTTTGAGCATTGTTTATAATTTTGGTACTTTCTTTTTTACTTTTTGATAAAGTTTATGAATATAAAATTAATTTTATGGTTTTTTTGAGAAAAAAATTCCTTTCAATATATTATATAATTTACTAATATAACGTGTTATATCATAATTTTATATTGGACACATATATTTTTGCTGAGTTATATTTTCTATTTTTAGTTTACTAATATAACGTGTTATATTATAATTTTATATTAGACACATATATTTTTGCTGAGTTATATTTTTATTAGACACATATATTTTTGCTGAGTTATATTTTCTATTTTATATAAAAGGATAAATCTTATAATATATTCCTCAATAATAATAATAAATTACATTCATTCCTTGAATAAGTTACAAGTAAAAAACAATTATACCCATTTAAATTAAAGATTTTTTGAAAGTAGTAATTAAATATATTATATTCTTACTATACTCAATAATGTATCTTTTCTATAATCTACACTATATATAAATGTGAGAATAAGGGGAATAATGAGATTTCCGATTACATTTATTTTTTGAATAAGTTACATTTAAAAAATAATTATATCCATTTAAATTAAAGATTTTTTGAAAGTAGTAATTAAATATATTATATTCTTACTATATTCAATAATGTACCTTTTTTATAATCTACACTATATATAAATATGAAAATAAGAAGAATGATGAGATTTCTGATAACATCCTTGATGAAATTTGAATATCATAAAATAACATTAGTTCTGATTAATTAAAAAATTATATAGAGAACAGTGTGTACAATATATTGGGTTATGTGAATTTATTTGAATAAACCGTGTTATATGCCGGTTCATATCGTTTTTTATCCGATTCTTTAGTCATCCGTTTTAAGTATTCAACCTGGATCGGACCACAAATTGATTTTCTGTTAAATTGGTCGGACCAACCGGTCCGGTCCGATTCTTAAACCATGATAATTAAAATATTTTATTTAGGAGAGAGATAAAAAAAAGTATGTTTTTTATAATATTTTTTCTTTATATTTCTATAATTTGATTCGATATATTTTTTAAAAAATAAATTTTCAAATAGAATATAAATAATTAAAACTTTCAAAATTTTTAGATTTTTACTTTTAAAATTTTATCTTTAAATGAAATGAACATATGTATGGGATAATAAACATTTAAAAAGTTTAATTTAAAAAATTATATAATTTTTTATTATTATATCTCTATATTTTTATATATTGAAACGTATTTATCAGGTGATACAGTAGAATTTTACATATATAGTTATAATGCATTTTAGATAGATGATAATATAAATTGAATTGAAATGTGTGTATATATATACATTGTTAATTTATTAATTAACCGTTATATCTACATTAATCTTATATGAAATTTTATTTTAACATTATAAAAATCTAAATAATATAAAACAAAATTATAATCAATGTTTAATATCAAAAAAATAAAAATGATTGTAAATAATAAGTAAAAGTAAGCAATGACATAAAAAAGTAAACTTACGAATAATAAGTGTAGTCAACATGCAATATACGTTATAAAAACACTAATATATATAAATATACAAATAAGGAAGAAAATCTTGAGATCGACAAAATGACCCTAACAGATTTATGAATTGACAAAAATATCATTAAAAGTTTTAATTTTATTAATTGAAAAATAATGATATTTTGATTGATTATATCAATTTTCTATTTAAATTTAAATTTTATTGGATAAAATAAGAAATTATATTATATATAGGTATATTTTAAACATGGTAAGAATATAATATGAAGTTTTAATTTTTTAGTTTTAATATGTAATTTAAATTTTCTGGTTAAATATAATTCTTATTAGATAAAATAAAAAAATTAGGTATATTTTAAACATGGTAAGAATATAATATCTTTATGAATTTTAATTTTTTAGTTGTTAAATGTAATTTAATTTTCTGGTTAAATATAAATTCTATTAGATAAAATAAAAAAAATTATATTATATATATAATAAGGTATATATTAAACATAAAAACATATAATATCTTTAAGGATTTTAATTTTATTAATTAAAAAAATAAGACTATTTAATTTTCGATTGATTATATTAATTTTATATTTATATTTAAATTTCATTGGATAAAATAAGAAATTATATTATATACTAAATAAAGTATATAAAAAATATGGTAATAATAAAATAATTTATTTTGATAAAGTAAGAAATTATATAATATGTTAAATATAGTATGAATATAAGAATTCAATTTGATAAAATAAAAAATTATGTTATACACTAAATATGATATATTTTAAATATGGTAAAAATATAAAAATTCAATTTGATTATTTTAATGCACAAAAAGTTTTTTAAATATTATTTCCTGCATATATACACGGTTCAAAAAGTTATTTCATGTTATTTTATATTTTGTTTTTTATCTTTATTACTTTATCTTAAAAGTTTTCATTTTTATCTTTGTTAATGGTAATTTATATAATTTAATTTTGTCTTTTAAATTCTTGTAGATGTCCGAACTTGCTTGTGTATATATTGTGTACATACTAAAAGCTTTCAAAGAATTAGATTTGTTCAATAGACTAGGATTTGTTATACTTTTTGTATAATCAAAATTGTATCATTTCATTTATAATGTATTGCTAATTATAATTTTCATGTCGAATAACTATATATATAAAATAAATTATCGGGATGTAGATGGTGACTGACATTCCAAGTTGGGGTGCCGGACAGTGATGGGTGCCAGGCCGTCACCGATGGAGTCATCTTCTCATCTCTTCGCCTTACCGGATATGCAGCAGTCCTCAAAACAACGGAAGGACAACTTCTTCAAGCCATTTCCGGGACTCTCGACAGCTATGAAGACTCGATTTTGGTAGAGGCATTGGCTCTTCATTCATGTTTGGATTGGACTTCTCATAACTTACCATCGGCGAAATGCATTTTGGTAGATTTATACAGCGAAGGAACAAAATGCAATTCACTGAAAGATGTTTGTGATGAGACCTATTTAGGTATAAAAATAATTCACTTTTATGTGAAATGCAACAATTGTTTATCTGAAATTGTTTTCAAGACCGATTCAATTCGTGTTATGTTGTGGATTGTGGGGCTAGAGAATGTTATGCAAATGTAAGCGAAGAAGAATTTGGCGGTGGAGATACAGTTAGGGTCAAAGATTCGATGGAAGAGTTAGAAGAGAAAGCCAAGGGTTTCAAAAGAGAGATGGAGATTGTTAATACGTTGAATCAACTTCAATCTTTGAAATCTATGCATGAAACGGTGATTTTTGATGGAATGTTTAGGGCGTTACAGGAAAAGAAAAAGAAAAAGAAAGAGGAGATATTGGAACAAGAAGATCAAGAGCAAATCAAATTGATAAATTTTCAAAGGAAACAAAATTGTGTTAGAAGGATATGTGATAATGATGATTTTGAAATGCCTTTGAAAAGAAAAAAGAGTTCTGAAGGAGTTGACGCGAACCCGACAGATGAATTGGTGACAAAAAATCTCCTTGGAAGTTCTGCTAAGGTTACAGTTGTTTCAAAACCTTCAGGAATAAGGTTGTGTTAGTGCAAAGCCAAAATTGAATTCCAGTGTCAAGAATAAGACGAATGAAGAAGAGAGCAGAAGAGATATTACAGGCCCTGGATTGGATTCACTGTGGCAAAGCTACCAATCCGACGAAGATTAGTCAGTCAATTTATCATACAATTCAATATAATCAGAAATTTTTAAAGGGGATTATTGTTTCTCATCTTCGTTTTTCCTTATGAATAGAAAAGTTTCAAACTTCAAAAATGTCAAAGCTGTTAACATTTATTTCGTTTCTAGCATAACATTTAAGTATTAGATCCAATAAAATTAATTTCAATGTTAATTCAATTCTGGTCAGTTTAATGTGAGAGGTAGAACCCTTTGGCTATGGCTTCAATCATTTCAAAGCTAAAAGAAGCAAAAGGTTGACAAACCAACAAACATTATAAAGCATGCTCTACATTAATAAATGTGAAATTAGATCACCACCTTCTTTTTAACATTTGGCAGAAAAATTTCAGACTACAAAGATGGATTATTTACATACTTGCTAAAACAGCCGATTCAATTTGCAGCTGCTACATCCATCTTCCGTGTTTGAGAATTAAACAATTCTGCAACATCTGCAGCTGTGCTGCAATCCTCTGGATTTCTATCTGACACTGAGCTGATAAATCTGGGAAATCTGATTGAGATGCCACGGGAGGCATGAATTAAACCTATAGCAGCATGGTGAACTCGTGAAACTGTAAAGTCTGCACCTCGTATTTGCCAAACAAGTTCTGGAGAAAACCACAAATCTGGCACCTCGTTAGTTTGGTAGTATGGTGGCTTTTTTGACAAGACTCTCTCTCCAGAAAAGAATTCTTTCATCTGCAACGCAAAATTGAAACTGAATTATTACCATGATGGAGGATTCCTCCACAAGCAAGATGCAGAATAAACAGGAAGATAAGTCTCAAAGGTGGTGAGTATAAACTACCACTCCAAAGCAACAGCAAGGTTAAGCTAGACTGCTATACTTACTGTTATTGCTGGAGTTAAAGGTTCATAGTAACACAAATTTCACTAGGGTGGGTGTCTCCTAGAGAGGGCATTTCTCTAAATCCCACAGAGCAACAGTAAACAGAAGAAACAAGCTCACTTTGCAACTAATGACATATTAAATATGCTGCCAATAGGCACCTTGATAGTGAACTGCATCAGCATCGCTCGTCTCTAATTCATCATGAAATACTTGGGGAAAGAATTTTATGGAGTTGAAAAATATCAAATCTGAAAGCCCAAACATGACATGGCATATACTTCGCAATATAAGGACTATCAAACAATTACCTCAATGTAAAATGCATCTGAGATCCCGGACATGACACGGCATACACTTTGGAATTCTTCGTTCTCAGGGTTGTAACATGCCATGAGAAATGGACTATACCTGCAAGAACATAATAAAATATCAAATCAAAACATGGATAGCAATTCTGCTTTTGACATATCGGTTACTGGTATAAAACAGATAGCAAGCACATGAAATCAAAATGTTTTTATATTTCTTAGTATGGTTCGTATGTTTTGGTGGATATCAATAATGTTGGCATAATGTGTTCTTGTTTGGCCCCATTTTTCCAACCTCAGCTTCATTGGGTAATTAAAGGGGAAAAAGAAGAGAAAATTACAAGCAACTACAGTACAAAGCACGTTCCCGAAACCCCAAAGGGATAAAAATGAGGAGTTATTACCATCCTGCTTTTCTCCCATTCCCATGCCAGGCTCCAATGGGTACTAAATCAAGAGAATCATTCATTCCTTCCACATAATCACGTTTAACCTGCCAAGGAGACTTGATATTATTACCCATGACTAGTCCATCTTCATTTTCTTCCTTAGCAGTAACTAAAAAAACAATAGCAAGTCCATGTGAAAAACCTTCAGCCATGTGTCAGTACGCTTTGATGGAGAATATTCAGCATTAACATCTAAAGATTTCAGCATGATCCCTTCACATGATGAGTGCAATGACTCTTCAAGGAAAGAGTGTATCTTGACAATTGTTACATCATTGGTCAAACAAGCATCATGTGCTTCAATCTACAAGACAAAAACTTGCATGAACAAATGAAGAAAGATGAATCATGTGAACTGATAAGGTTAGAGCAGTTACCGTAATTTCCTTTGCATATTCAAAATAGCCCATCCTTTCATCACAAAACAAATCCTTTAGGTCTGTGGTATTACAGAAGCAAAGAATAAAACAAAAAAGGCAAGATTTGAAACCCGCAACAGCAACAAGCAAACAAGTTATTATCCAATCAAAACTAAAAATAAATTCATAATCACAGGCCAAGAAAATGTGTACATTTCCGTCTTTGGCGGAGAGGAAGCTCCAGCAACCTACATAATGAGAGTGATCAGAATAATCAGCAACTAGTTTCTTTTTTTATTCTAAAAAAAAAAAAAAAAAAAGAATGCAACAGTTAAGTACCAGAATATTATATAAGACACTACTCATTCTAGATCTAAAAATATGGAACCAGAATGCTTGAACTTTAGTGACCTGCTAATGCAGAACCAACCATAAATTTTAACTTTTAGACCAACAGCTAACTCATGTTAGTAAGTAGTACAACTGTGTTAAAATTTGCTGTCATATACAGCCTGACAGTTACACACGTACATTCAAAACTATAACAGAACTAGTTAAACTGACCCTTAGACAGGTCAAAATAGCCGCAACATGTAATCTCAAAGACACGCATGTGAGATTTAATGGTCAGCTAGCAGTCTCCAATTAACACTTACTGTGTCATTTGTCCTTGCATACATATGTCAGATAAGACTCAAAACAATTCCAAGAGAAGGTTCAAGGTAATTACTGTTCTCCATTAGCAAACATGATATCAAAGACAAATACACAAATGTTGACCTGCACATAGTGGAAACACCAGATAAAAGCCCAAAAGTCAGTATATCTATCATCAAAAGAAAAGGTATGCAACATAACATCACTTCAATAAATCAGAAAGCCAATAGACCAATTAATCATATGAAATAATCAACAATTGCAAAGTTAACACCTAATCATTAGGTCAGGCATTTCTTCAGCTCACAATTCAAAATAATTATAAACTGGTCTATACAATCTAAATTTGAAGGTTGCATATTATATTCTCAGAAAATATAAGTAAACTTCATTCATCATCTCTCCTTTACAAGCACATGTTTGCTGTAAAAAGATTAGATCCTTATCTTCTGTTGTTTTCCACAATTTATAACCTCATTAACAGGGAGTAATGTCTGTTTAATTGCCTAAATCAATTCATTTCTATTTTCTCCAAAATAGCTACTCTGGTTGTTGGTAAGTCCCCAAACATAAGTCTAGAAAAGTTCCAACAAACTCTGATAATCCACAAGGGTAAATCGCTGCATACATATCAGTATATAAGTTTCCAGAATGTCTTCACTACCCATTCATTCACATTTCAGCATCTTCAATAAAATACGCATTCAACTTGCAGTGTAACTTACATTTTTCCTAACTATTATTTAAAGAAAATAAATTAAATTCATTACCATCACAGATGCTCTAACCAAATATTCAGTTTACATCAATTCAATATGCATTTATGTCTACAACTACATGACCATGTTATATTGATAACAAATCAAACCTTTATGTTATTCACTGTTATTGATGAATCTTTGCTCCCTCTCTCCCTTGATGATAGTTCTTGGAAAGACATAAGCTTGCAGCCATTTTTTCTATCAACTGCAACTACCTGAAACCACAAAGTGCCACAAACATAAATAACAGAATCATGTTCACTTTACGGGCAATAATCCGTCATTCCATTGCAGACTGAAGCATCCTAATACTAACAAATTAGTCCAGCAAAAGAAAAGGAAAACCTTCTGCCATAAGAAAATCTCACCTCTGCGTCCAGAATGAAAGTCACTGCACCAGGTTTACAAGATTCCTTAATTATGTTCACCAAATCTGGAAATCTTGATGTTGTTTCATCCCCATTTCGTGAAAAGACACGCACCGTACCATTTGATAATTTGTGAATTTGGGTGCGCTGACCATCATATCTGAAATTACAGAGATCATCTCAAATGAGGAATCCATGAGTAAGGTAGCAAAAACAAAACAATTGAAGAAAAGACTCCCAAAAATGCATGTACAAAAGTTTTTCAATCCAATTGATGAAAAGAACAAAAATCTACTTAATATTCATGAAATACCTTAACCACATTTAGTCAGTAAAAGCATATAACACAAAGATATGATATAGATAATTGTCTAATTTGGTGTTACTCAGCACTTTCTCATGTAAGAGTTACAAATATTTCTAAATAAATGATTTAATTTCGAAAATTATTTTAACATAAACTAAGATGCTTTGTGCTAGGGGTGTTCAGGAACCACCACATTCTCCCAAACCGATCCAAAACCATGATTTTGAAAAATTGGTCTGCTTTGGTCTGGAAATTATAAAAAATTCAAAGGTTGGTTAGGTTCTTAGATACCAATAAGTTGACAAATGTTTTTTTATTCATAAAGGATTTACTAATGTGAAGCCATTTTTTATTATTTTTTATAAGAATAAGTACTTTTCAAACTGCCTTAGACCACCAAGCAAACCAAATTGAACCAAACCACATTCATAGATTTGGTTGGCTTGAGTATCCTCATGGTTGGTTCATTTATAACCGCCGTTATTGGTTCGGTTTGTAAAACCATGAACACCCTCGATATAGCCACAGAAAAATTCATAAAACTTGTACCTAAATCAATATTCAATGTTAATTTCCATACTCACCTTCAATGCACTCCCTCTGTACTTTAAGGAATAAACGACATGACTGCCAGTGTTCACAAATAGGAAAATGAAGAAAGGAAGCATGTATATAACCAGCACTTTAAATTAAGAATTGCGAGGATCTAGCACATGTTAACAATCAAAGTTGTATAATAACTATCAGAAAATCATATCAGCTTATGCACTGAAACATTAAAAGCAAGACATGGAAAGTGTCTCAAAGATGGAACCAAGCCAGACGAAAGAGGGGGCATACTTGTATTCACATGTAAAAGCTTTATCTTCAAAGAGTTTCAATGCTTGAGAAATTCCATTTGTAATTCTACCACAGGAAGATATCCAATTAGCCAATATTTCATTAGATATTTAGATTTAACATGCACTACATATAATTAAGAGTGATAGTAGAAGTATATCTATACTTTGCAAGCATAGGTTTAATAGGTACTCCTGGCACCATTGACAAGGTGGATGAAGAAAATTCAATGCCTCTGCTTATAAGTGAAGGAATGACCAAATCCTGTCAGAATATGGCAAAGAAAGATATATGCATGAAGCTTCCAGAGAACAATGCAAAAAAACTTATAAGGTCAACTACATGCAACTTACTAAATTTGGAAGTATATTATAAGCTTCAACAACTGCTGCAGAAAGGTACTAAAGAGTAACAGGAATACTGGATTAGCAACATAAAAATATGGAAAATATTGGACAAAAAAGTAACCAAAAATAATTCCCACAGATTGATATTTTCACATAAATGGAAAAAGAATTGATTTCCCATCACTACTAAAATACTCTAGTTCTTCTATAACACATACATATAATAGCAAATTCAGTCACTATCAACTGATGAAAAAACAAAAGGATCAGAAAGCATCAAGGTTTGTTAGGAGTAGAAACAAAACCTGAAGTTTCTCCTTCAAGTCAACTTTCTGTTCCTCAGAAGCATTAGCCAAGGAATTCAGAGCAACAGCTTGGGCCAGTGCAGGTAGAACAGTTTTCATCATTGCTCCAATCCGTAAATTCCTTACCTATTCAGAATTTATTTCAGACAGAATATATAAAATTTATATAAATATACTTGGATTTTGAAGATCAACGCAAGATCATTTCCTTCTCATCTCAAGAAGGTTAAATTAGGACAAGGATGAAAACCTTGAATAGAAAGATTATGTTATTAAGATTTTATTCGGCACAAATTTAATTATATTATATGGCTTAATATCGGTTTGAAATATGATATCTTGAAAGAATATTTATGAATGGACATTGATGTATTTTATGGTAGAAATTCAGTCATAAGTTGCATAAAATAGAGAATATAAAAAAATGTATGCAATCAGATCTAGAAAATCAAGACAAACTTTAATTTCTTGGCTCGAGTAAAATTAGTTCATTTTCTCGGCTTCCCATACATTTTGATATAGCCCACTCTTACTCCCAATCCCTTAAGCCAATGAGAATTGGACTCTAAAGACCCCCAATTGAATTTTGTAATCATCATAATTATTATTATTATTATCTTTTTTTTTTTTTTTTTTTTAAATTAAGTTTCATCTTCTCGGCTCCCATACATTTTGAATATAGCCCATCTACTCCAACCCCTTAAGCCAATGAGAATTGGACTCTAAACCACCCAAATTGAATTTTTTGTAATGCATCATAATTATTTATTAATTATTATCTTTTTTTTTTTTTTTTTTTTCTTTAAATCTTACCAAAGTAAAGAATTTTTTTTTTTTTTTTTTTTAAATCTTACCAAAGTAAAGAATGAAGGATACAACATATAGCCTACCACAACAGCAGCTCTGATACAAAAATTACATGAGTGTACCTAATATTTAGGTTCTAAAAAAATTATAAAAGAATGAATTGGCAGCTGATGTAACTATATAACTATGACTGACTCAAAATTTACTAACAATGACTGAAAGTCTGGAATAACCTTTGCAATCTTCTTAGAGACTATGTCCTTTCAGGAGCCAAAATAAGGCCACAGAAAATTGAGATCTCAATTCTATGATGCACAGAGACAGTCAATCAAATAGGTGGTTCATTATAATCCAAAAGAATAACAAAAATGAGAAGAAGAAAAATGTAAAGCGCGAGAACTAAAGATATTTACATTCCTTCCTCTACATAATGCATCCACTAGAAAGAACTAATTCTTCAAAATAGAAGGTTTCTGCATCCAATCTTACCAAAGTTCTAACAATAAACTTCATCTCCTTCTCCTTACAAGAACGCATAAGATTTACAATGAGGCTCTTCTTCTGAGCAGTGCTTCCAGTACCTGTCTGCGCACTGACAAATATTATATGACAAAAATGAGAATAAGGTTAATGAAATGCCTTGCTTGATAGTTTGCCAATAAATTATTCCTAAATTAAATTCAAAACCTTTATACAATTCCAGAAATATTAAAAGGTATTATAGTATTAGAAAGAATTCTAGCATAATTTTCTGAGAAGCATCTAGTCAAGCAACTAGTAAGTTTTAGATCCATATTATTCAATATCAATCTCTCAGCAAGTTTCGAACAGGGTTCAAAGTGGACACTACCATTGAATTGTCAAAGCCATATAATAGTTCTGTGATCTCTGCAGCATTAGCATAAGAGCAAAATGGAGGAGAAAAAAAGAGAAGAGGAAATGAAACTTGATGAACAGTAAACCTGAAATAGGTTTGGGATTTTAAGGCCAAGTCAACACCTAATGGCAGCGAAGACCTTAACAAATTTAAAAACCAGGTTTAAGTTCGGCTTGAATTCTTGCTGCCTGAGCATTGGTACCATGCTCATCTTGTACAAGTATCATCATGTCTAAGATTCTTCAGATTTGTAAAACAATTGTTATCATGTTGTATCCATGATATTTTCATTACATCCAATCTGCCCAGAATAAAAACCAAATTCGAGTACACATACCTTATCTTTCGAAGCACGGAAAAAACATCTTTAATAAGAAGTTGAGAAGGAGGAGCAAGTAATGTTTGTGTTTGTCGGCATAGTTGAGCAACATCACCTTATAATAAATGCATATACTTGTTTAGCAATTCCCCAAACAAGTTGATGAGAAAAAAGAAAAATGATAATAGTGAAGGAAAAATTAGAAAAACACCCATCTGTTCCTACTTCCTACCAAGATCCCCCAAACTGTTGTACATATCCCTTATTTTGGACCTGTTTGTCCCGCATGCCTCTTCTATTGCTGATGTGACCAAGCTTCCACCTATGTTCAGCTCCTGCATTAATGGCAGCATTAGTACACATCACTTTCTTGTGTTCTAGAAACAAATCCTCAACTGTGAAGATATGAAAGCATGTTAAAACTGCAGTTTTTTTTTTTTCATAGATATTTAGATTCCAGCCAAGCAAAGTTAATTAAATTTCATCATATTATAGATGCTTATTCCATGAATACGTAAACAAGAAACTATGTAGTGAATTATTTTCCAGAAATGATATGCTGCAGAAGTTAATTGAGAATAAATGCAACTGGCATGTTAAAATTTTCACAATGGAAATTTAAGAGTCAGGACCTCCTGCGTCATTATGGCAGCAAAAGTACACATTACTTTCTTGTGCTCTAGTGGCAGCAAAAGTACACATTACTTTCTTGTGCTCTAGAAGCAAGTGTTCAACCGTGAAGATATGAAAGCACATCAAAACTGCAGTTTTTTTTTGAGATATTCCAATTCCAACAGCACAAACTTAATTACATGTATATCATCATATTACAGATGTTCATGCTCTGAATATTTATTCAAGAAAGTGTAGCAACTTATAAAATGCCAGAAATAATATGCTTCAGAAGTTAATTGAGAAGAATTGCAACTAGCATGTTAAACTTTTTATAATGAATTCAGGCTAGAAATTAAAAAAGAATGTTTTCACAGCCACACAATATATAAGTAAATAAATAACAAAACAATAAATTCCTGAAAGAAGGGCATTAACTATATTTTCATGGTCAGCAGCGATCTTATTGGTGCATAGATACACAGCAGGTAGGACATCCTCAGGAGACAACGCTAGTAAACTGCATAGATATACAACATGGCAAATGACATATCACCATCAGTTTCTTTTTTTTTTTTTTTTTTTTTTTTTTTTGACAGTATCACCATCATGTTTTCTTTTTGTTTTTTTTTTTTTTTTTTTTTTTTTTTGATAATATATCCACCTAATCAGTTAATTATTACTGTGTTTGAATTTTTTACTTCATAGGTTTTTTTTTTTTTTTTTTTTTTTTTTTGATAATATATCACCATCAGTTAATTATTACTGTGTTTGAATTTTTTACTTCATAGGAAGAAAGAAACTTGGAAAGAGACAAGGTAAAGTGGAGAAGACCTTCTAAACATATTGCATAACATAGAAGTAGCTTTGATCTTTCCTTTTTCAGCCTCAGCCAAGTCAAATGTTCGTGCAAGATGGATATATGGAGCAGGCTCTCCAGCCTTCCAGCATGCTGTGTATGCATCATAGTGTTTAACTTCAGAGCTTAACGCCATACAAGAATTTAACTTAATCAATTTTAAAATAAAGAAACAGACCATGCTGTATAGGAATGTACTTTTCTGGAGGTAGTGCAACATAAGTTGGAGCCACATTTCCTGTCAATGCTCTCTTCAGAGACAAATCAATCATATGTTCTTCCTCCTCCGAAACAGTTTTTTCCTGAGCAGAAGAGAACTCATTAGTGTGACACTGGGGCTGGATTGAATCACCTGAGGCTACCAACCTCACCACACTCTTGTCAAAGTTACCCTCTGGATTACCATAATGTATATCTAATGCCTTGCTAATGTCTCCTTTGGTCCTCTCCAGCATGGTGGCAGCATAGCCTCTTAATGAATTGTTACCATCAATGATCTGAATAAACTGATTTATCTCCTGTTTGTATGATATAGTGTCATCATTCGGCAATGATTTTTCATCTACTGGACATTGCTCTGGTATAAACTCAACCACGCTGCCTGTAGAAACCTTAGGCACAATCTTATTGAAGAACCTTGTAATAGTAGACTGTTTTGGTCCCCCAGATTCAAGTTTTGGATTAGGTTTTACTTTCTTCCTGTGCTTATTTTCAACATTCTTCCTTTTTGCAGGGGTTATGCGACTTTTAACTGAAGGCTTTGTGTTTGATGATTTAAGATTTTGACTCAATGGAGAACTCAAACTCTCTTGGCTACTCTTAATAGAAACTGGTTTTGAAAGTGCTTCAGGCCCATTTGGTATACTGGCTGGAGATGAAGAAATAGATATATTATGAGATGAGGAAATTGATGCCTTTCGTTTAAAGACTTGTTGATGAAATTGTGTTTCGTTATCATAAAAATTAGACACTGCGTCAACAAAATTCCCTTCTGAGTTGTTAATCAAATCCAACATTTGGTCTCGGGTAACCCATGAAGGCAAACAATCACTAAGTTCTTGTATGATCTTCTTTGTTCCCTCATCATTTAGTATGGCCAAATTTGAACCACATTCTTGCAGGATAGTTGAAGAGTTCAAAATGACACCTAGATCCTTATCTTCAAGCGTATTGACTTCACAGGAAGCTGCCCCTTTCTCCTGACCTAGGCCCTCACTCAAGCCAGAGACATCTTCCATCTCAACCTTTTCATCATTCTCCAAAGACCCACGATGAAAACCCATTAAAAACTCTTTTTTGTTAGCCATTTCATCAACTAAACCAGCAAAATGCTTCTGCATTTTAATAGCAGCTTTACTGTCAAGTTTTTCAATATCCACACCAACTGTAGGAATAACACGCTTTGGTCTCAAGAATTTCACAAACCCCATAAGCTCATCATAATTTGAATGTTCACTATATGGCACGAGATGGATCTCAAATGTCTCCTTTGACCTCACTGGGAAGTTTTTTTTATGTGTCGCTTCATAAGTCCAACCAGTAGGTACAAATCCCACAACTTTAGAATATCGTCTTTCCACCATAATCTCCTTCATTTTAACAAAATTTGGCCGAAAATAAGGCCATGTCTCTCCAAGCACATTCCATCCAACAACATGAACATCACTCTCGGTCTCATCTTCTGTAAACATCCCACTCTCTCCATGTCCTAAAACCCGCAAAACCTCCATTTTCCTCCCGTCCACATGGACCTTTCTTTTACACCTACGTGCAATCTCAAGCAAAATCCTCTCCTTCCCTACAACATAGGTTGCAACGAGAAACAGTACAGTTCTTTCTTGACCCATATACTTCTCTCCTATTCTATCTATCACACCAACTATATAATCAATCGATTCCTCTTGAGAGGGAAAAACAAATTTAGGATCACAATAAGTAGTATCTAAAAACACTGTGTCGCAACCAAAAAACTGGCTCAGTAAGCTATCTTCTTGCATTGAACCACAGTATCTAAAATCACCAGTATGAATATACATCTTAAAACTCGCTTGATTCTTACCAGGAACTTTAAACAAGAACAGAACAGCCCCAGGGCAGTGATTGGCATCGATAAGTGTAACTTCAGACCCATCGATAATCACAGGCTCGCGCAAAGGCAATGGAAAGACGAACTGCGAAGGAATCTTGAGAACTTGAGTAAGGAGATTAGCAGTGGTAGGGGAACAGAAAATGAGGCCTTGGCACCAATTAGAGGAAAGGCCTGTATAGTGATCAGAGTGGAAATGGGAGAGGAAGTAGGTGACTGTGGAGCTGGTGGCATAGCGAAATGCGTCGACGAGGAAGCGAGTGTTGGGGATGACCTTCGACGAAGGAAGAGACGACGGGAGAGGGAAGGAGGAGAGGTGGTGGCGATGGTCGCTATGGATTGGGACGGAAAGGGAAGCGAGAGATGTTTGGTAGAGCTGGAGAGAATCTAGGGTTTGCGGTGGTTTACTGGAACATGTTGAGGTTTCCATTAGAGAATTTGGGGTTTATGAGTGGCTCATCGTAGCGTATTAGGAACTAAAAGATGAAGCATTTTTTGGGGAAATGGAGAGCAAGAAGCGGTTGTTCTTATGAACCTTCTAGCGTTGTTGTCGGTTTATATATGGGAAATTCGGCGCCAAAAAACGGTTAGATCCTCAGTCTGTTTGGCTTCCTAGAAAATGAGGGCTATAAGTGAAAAGTTATCAGTAGATTTTAATTTATTTATTTATTCTCTTAAAGCAATGAAATGTCAAGCGTAAAGGTAAAGAAAGTTATTTTATAATTCTACAAATTATATTTAGAGCAATACTTATCAGCTCAAATTGATCCAGAATTACAAAGAATAAATGTTCAATTTATTCTCGTACAGCTATATAAAATATCATTTATGTTATATAAAATGTCATTTATGTTCTTATTCAAAATTGATCGATTTTAGAGAAATATAAAATTTATATATATCATTAAATAGCTCTAGATAGAGTGGTAAATGGTTTACATTTCCTAATGTTAGCATTAATTATTTCTCTTTTATATAAATATAAAATGTTATATATATCATAAATAGCTCTAGAAGAGTGGGTAAATGGTTTACATTTCCTAATTGTTAGCATTATTATTTCTCTTTTATTATATATATTATATATATATTTATATATAATATTAATATAATTATATATATATATTATATAATAGATATTAGTTTCCAAGCATAATTAGTTCACGAGCTCTCATTGCACTTGTCAAACACCTTCAACCAATGCACCGCCACATATATTACTAGCTGACCCATACTTGCTACAAAATGTTTCCAATTTCGTCAAATCGAAAATGAAAAAAAAAAAAAAAAAAAGGAAAAAAAAAAAAAAAAAGGAAAAAGGAAACATGGAAAAATCAATCCCAAACCAATCCCTATAATTGGGTTGGACGACGCTTGTGCCATCTGAGCCAAGAACCCTCATCCTTTCATTTTGATCAAAAAAGTTTATATGTAGCGGTCTTTGTATGTATTAATGAACCCTAATTGAAACTTAAAAAGTATAATGTGGAAGGCAGATGATACCATTATTTGTACCTAAATCATTTAAAATATCTTAGTGTTGGACTACGATGCTAAATCATCTGTCCCTTCAATAAATTTTAAATACAAATCAATTACACTCGTCCATTAATCGAGTTAGGTGGTCAATAAGAGTTAAGTTCGATAAATATGCATTCACACATCTTGATCCACTCAAATCAACAATTTTGAGTTAGGTGGTTAATATGAGTTAATTCGCCGTTTCAATCCTATGTGCGGGAGACCGAGATTTTACTTGTTTTGCAAGCTAACGTATTTCATTAAATTGGAAAATGAAAAAAAAAGGCGAAAAATATGAGTTAATCCGCCGTTTCAATCCCATGCGCGGGAGATCGAGATTTTACTTGTTCTGCAACTTGATCCACTCAAATCAATAATTTCATTAAATTGGAAAATGAAAAAAAAAGGCGAAAAATATGAGTTAATCCGCCGTTTCAATCCCATGCGCGGGAGATCGAGATTTTACTTGTTCTGCAACTTGATCCACTCAAATCAATAATTTCATTAAATTGGAAAATGAAAAAAAAAAAGGGCGAAAAATAAAAAAATGACACAAGGAGGAATCAAACTTAGGACCAATCCCTATAACCAAATTGGGCAATCTCCATTTATGGCATCTAGGCTAAGAGCCCTCATCCATTCATTTTCCCCAAACCAGCTAATAGATAGCGCTCTTTGTGTGTTTTGATGAACCCTAATTGGAATCTAAAAAGGTATAATATGGAAGGCGGATGGCACCATTATTTGCATCGAAATCATTTAAAATATCTTAGTGTTGGATTACGCTGCTAAATCATCTGTCCCTTCAACAAATTTTAAACACAAATCAATTACACTCTTACATTAATCGAGTTAGGTGGTCAATACGAGTTATGTAACACCCCTTCCCGGTCCACCCGTAAACCCGAATAAACCGAGTCGAGACGTTACAAACTGGTTGACTGTGGTTGACTGTATGGCCTGACATGCTGAAGTCATAATGTATATTGAATATAATAGTATGCTGATGTTGTATACAAAAATAATGTAATGTATATTTACAAAACATGATACTAGAGTCAAAATGAAATGGGCCCAACTGTGTGCCCTGTACATGCCATGAAAAGGATAGACAAAGATACATATCCAAATGAGTAGCTACCCTGAAGACTGAGTCTTCTACCGATGAACTGCAGCAGTTGTAAGCCGACTCTCTATGGTCCAATCTCAAAACCTGCGAGTTAAACAGGTAACTCGCTGAGCAATAAAGCTCAGTGGATATCTCATGAAGAAACAATCAAGCACATACATAGATAGAAATAAGTATGTAAACACATATGGCACATATAAGCACACATGTTATGATACCTTCATTACCTTGATTATCTTTTGTACTGTTTGTAATACTGTATAATTTATGAAGTGTTATGTCAAGATATCTGTATGGCTCCATAAGGTTATAGTGAAACCGAAGTGATAAGAAAAACTGTATGAAACTGGATGAATAATGTATGCTTGGCTGCTATGGCCGATATATAATCATATCCACTCAACGGCCTGTAGCCGGAGTACCAAACTGTATGGGGCGCAATCAAACTGTATGAGGTGCAGATCTGCTATCCTATGTCGCGACATGGTCTTATCTACATGGTTTCTACCTAACCTCAATGGAGCATAATGTTGATGTGGCACTGGTATAACACAACATCACATTAATAGTTCATAACTCATATTCATAACTTCATAAATCATCATGTTTACTTGATTTCACATCATTTGTATGCTTTCATATTGTTTTGATACATGTTCTAATGTTCTCTTTTTGTTTTAGAATGATTGGATGCATACAAGGTGAGCAAAGGAATCAAATTGCATTGAAAATGAAGGCCAAAAGTGCATGACAGTGCAAGTCGCGAGCGCGCCTTGCAAGGTCGCGAGCGCGTAAGTGCAAGAATGAGAGACAGTATGTTTCTGGCACAAGTCGCGAGCGTGAGAATGGAGGTCACGAGCGCGAGTGTGTCTCAGGTGAAGGTCGCGAGCGCGAAGATGGAAGTCGCGGTCGCGTAATGTGCAAACTGAGAGTCAGTGAGTTTCAAGTGAAAGTCGCGAGCGCGCAAGATGAAAGTCGCGGTCGCGTATAATGCCAAATGAGAGTCAGAGAGTTTCAGGTGAAAGTCGCGAGCACGCACATGAAGGTCGCGATCGCGTAATGTGCAAAATGAGAGTCAGTGAGTTATCAGTCCAAATTCGCGAACGCGCGACGCGTTTCCAACCTGGGCAGTCTGTACTCTTTGGAGCATAACTCACAATATACAACTCCAATTTGGATGATTCAAAAACCCATGTAAAGCTAACACATAGAGGAACAAATAACTCTTCTATGACACTTCCTAATTCAACTCCAATTTGGATGATTCAAAAACCCATGTAAAGCTAAGATGATATCAAAAAAAAAACCCATGGTAGAAAAGCTAACCACATAAGAGGAACAAAAATAACTTCTTCTATGAAACTGTCCTAATTCATCATTAAATGGGGTCAAAATCAAAGATGAAGTACTGAAAAATTTCCAACAAAACCTGTTTCAAACATAAACTCATATATTACTTCATTATTCAATACCTCCCCTGTTCTCGTCCCTGTTTCTCACCATTCACCAGTCCTCCCACTCAACATGAAGCACACCAACACAATTCTCATCGCAAAGAAAATGAAAATAACAAAGAGATATCAAACCTTCACTCCAAAAGCTGAAGCTTCCTCCTTTTAGCTTCTTTTTTCTACACTCTTTTGACTCCCTTCACCTAAATAAGAATTCTTATGATTCTAAAAAACAATAGACAACCAAGTTGTTTCAATTATGAACTTCAAGGAAGGTTTAACTATACTTGGTAAAAAAGAAAGAGAAAGTTTGAAGTTAAGGGCCTTAACACCAATTAAAATTGGAAAAGTAAGGTGGAAGAGGAAAGGAAGAAAATGAAGATAAAGCATGAAAATGGGAAAGTGACATGGGTAATGCACGGGTAGGCTATCAAAAATCAAAGGATTTTATGTAAAACTTCCCTAAAATGGTATCTCAAAATTGTAAACAATGCTACAAACTTAAACCCAAACTGTATAGTTTAGTGCAAATAAGTCCTCCACCCAATGCTTGATCCTTTTTTCTCTTCACTCAAGTAACTCACTTTAACATTCTAACTCAATTGTAAACATGCTACAACTTAATACCCAAACTGTATGTTTTAGTGCAAATAAGTCCTCACCCACATGCTTGATCTTTTTCTCTCACTCAAGTAACTCCACTTATAAACACATTCTACCCCAACTGGGTTTGGTTCAACTCGACTCAACTCGACTACTCAACTCTATGCTAAGACTCGACTCGGTAGGATGTCACAAGTTAATCCACCGTTTCAATCTTATGTGCAGGACACTGGGATTTTTACTTGTTCTGCAAGCTAACGTTATCTAGGTTACTGAAAAACCCATCACAAGTCCGTCTACCAACAACAAATATGAGTTAAGTTCAATAAATATGCATGCACCCAACTTGATCCACTCAAATAAACAGACACAAGGAGGAATCAGTCCTAAGACCAATCCTTATAACCAGATTGGGCAACCTGCACTTATGCCATTCAGGGTAAGAGCCCTCATCCATTCATTTTCACCAAAACAGCTAATATATAGCGCTCTCTGTATGTATTGATAAACCCGTTCCAGCATAAACGAGCCTGTATCCATTCTTAGGCCCAACACAATCACGTGCATCTAGCTTGAGATGTTGATTTGCTATGGCGACAACGCAGTTGTTAGTTATTGGTTTTGGCAAAAACATTTAATACATTAATGATGAGCCATTATACTTTTTGCTTATAGCATTGGTAATTATGACTTGATTTTCCTCCAAAATTCATCCATTTTTCCTCCAATTTATCTCTCCAAAACCACCCAAGGTTGTAAGCATCTTTTTCTATGCAATGATCTAGGATCATTATGAGCCGTTTAGCACTACCCTTATATTTTGAAGTAATAAAATTTGTTTATTTGTATTTTAGTTACTCCCTTCAATTCATTTATATAGACACAACAAATTTTGCAC